CACCTGTGATTAGTGTTAATGTGCAATACACACTACAAATATAACTGTTGCTTTTTGTTTGTATTTGGTATACAATTGTCATGCTCTGTAAAGAATTTGAGGTACAGATTGGTGAGATCACTGTTTACAATTAGCCATAGTCACAGTAAAACATTCCTATTGTTAGCAGTATTGACTAGTCAGTATTGTTTTGCAATACTGACTAGTCAAGTGTTTGCTTTTCTTCATGCCAGTACGTGTATATACATACACACACAAAGTTTTAGGTTGCTTCAGAGAGAAATAATTTATAAATGCAATATTCCCCATTTTTATTGCACTAATATATAAAGACATTAGCCAAATCAAGAATCACAAACAGAAATGGACCATAAAGGAATAAGCAAGTTATAATTATGAAATATATATAAAACAAACAAAAAAGTATCAAACAGTGAAGTAAATTTTGGTCACATGAAATAATGTTGACTGGACCTTTCCACTATGCTGATAGGAAACCAACTGACATATGGACAATGAACATATGTCTTTAATATAGGATTTTAAAGCAGGTGTACTAGAGTGTTTTCATCAAAGTATAGCAGCCTGTCTAGCCACAGACCACACACTGTAAATCTAGAATTCTTCATACTTCACTTCCAAATGTTTCATATATAATTTAGCAGCACAGTCACATCTGTAATTTTTTTCTTATTCCAACACCATATTAAAAATCTTTGAATATTAAACCAAATGAATACAGCTGTAGAATATGCCCAAAACATGAGTCTTCCGTAAAATTATGCTTGCAACATACGGTTGAGATCTAGCCTTGCTAGTAATCCTTTGTAGTGAACTGAAAATGAAAAATCACTTTGTGTTCTATTCATCACTTTTTAGAACATACGCTACAAATTTAATATTTTTTAGAACTCTTGCCTATTGAATTATTAAAACAAGATATTCTAGCTCCTTGTTTCCCATATCTAGCTTAGTAATACTTCTGCATTCTTTCATCTGATTTTTTTTAAAGTACCAACAGTTTACTAGGTGTCTACAAATCCATTAAAACATACAGTTTAAAACGAGCCTGAAACCATTTAAGGAATAAAAAAATTAAAACTAGATTTTGAGCTCAAAAATGGACTGGGAACTTGTGCCTCTTATGAAACAGTGGCATAACGTGAACGTATCCATGAGTCCTAGTTTGCAGATGAGCTGCCTTTTCTTCACCAAACTTCCTTGCTTTGGTTTTTAAAAATAAGCCCTACGTATAATTTCTTTGATCTAAACATAATAGTTAATGCAAGGGTTATTCTGTCTTGCCTAAGCTGATAAAAGGTTAAGACACTGAGGCCACTTATGTCTCCGGCTTCAATGTGAATCGGAGAGGAACCCGAGACTACTCATCTGCTGCTTTAAAAAGAAAGCATGTAAACCCCTTCCGAGAAGGCTGCAGATTACTGGGGTACAAAATGCAAAGAGAAATCTTTCAGAGAAGGAAGCAATTAACACTGGAAATGGTTTTGTAGCAAGTGAGAATAAACCATGAATAGAATGGAAATTATATAGGAAGTTCCATAGTCAGCTTTTTTTTGTCCAGACTTTCTCCTGTTTTCTCTCATCTCAGCTGCACGTTCAGGTGTCAGAAGAGAGCAGGCTTTCAGATGTAATCAGCCTGATGCTATCATTTTTAGTGAAGCTTAGTACTTAGTACTAAGTACTACCTTTTGTGAATTGTAAAATTTCATTTTTGCATGTTTAATTTATTGAAACCTGAGCTCTTTGGTGTTTATATAATACTTCAGTTTTGATTAAAAAAAAAAAAATACGTGAGGCACATGATAGCCAGAATATCCCTGCATGATTTGCAAAACAAACACACCCCTGTGTCTCTTTTGCAGAAGGGTTAGAGCTAAGATATGACCAAGCCAGGAGGAAAGCTTCTTTTGAGAGCCATGTTAGGTGCAATTTGGTTTAGTCAGAAAGGAAAGCAACCAACCTCTGTGCATGCAGAAGGGTTAGTACATGGATAAGAAATTGCCAGAAAATCCCAGGTTAGTTGAAGTTGAAAAAAAAACTTTCCTGGAAAAAGCCAGTCCCCATATTGTTGCCAGTCCCCATATTGTTGCCATTGAAATTCAGTAGAGGTGTCTATGCAGTCACCAGAAGTCATGTTCATCTCTTCCTATTTTTTCCTCTGTATAATAAACAATTGTAAAAAGATTTGAACCTAAGCAGCAGTTTAAACCTGGTCCTCTTGTGCCATAAAATTTCACAGCCGAATGACACAAAGGCAGGCATGCTGTGTTAAACTTACAGTCACCATGGTTATAATTTGAGTAATGCACATGGAATTACTTATAATATCCTGGTCTACGACTACTTTAACATTTATTTTCGCTTGTCATTTAAAAGTATGGTTCAGGAGCTGGGAGAGGAAAATGATGTGATTGCAATCAGATTTCTTTGCTTAACTTTTCCATTAGTACCAATAACCTTATTCTCTATCTCAGAAACTCTATACATTTTAAAGGAATAACTTGATCAAGCAGAGTTTTTTGTTTCCAAACTCAGAAGGTGCTCACCAAAGCCATATTATATGAAATCAACCCAAACTTTGACTTAAGGAGTCAAAGAGGCAGATGATACTAATGAGAGGCTGCATTAACTCTTTTTCAGTTCTCTTCCCATTTCCTTGAAGAGACAAGCAAGGGGAGTATATAGTAGGGGAAATTTCTCTGCTTTTGCATTGAGATTGTAATGTTGGCTAGAATATAAATATCATTTCCCTAATGCCCTTGTTCTCAGCAGTGTTTTGTTTTTATTCTTTAAAGTGAGTTGACTTTTCTTTTAGCAGTCAGGATGGGAAGAAAGGAATGGTAACTGGTTATTCTAGTTTGGGATATTAGAGAGCTGGGAAAAACAACTTGTTTTATTACAGTATTTGAATTCACTATATACCTATAGGATTCATAATTAACTTTTCACCTCTCTTACTTCTATTAAAAAAAATATTTTTTACATTTCCCCTGACCACTACCATTACATTTTTACTGTTGTGTCTCATTTTCTGAAATACAACAGAATTAAATGTATAAGATATTTTTAAATAATTGACTAGAATTTCTTTCTCTGTTACAATTGCTAGAGTCCTTCACTTACAACCAGTCACTTAACCATTCAAAGTTACAGCAGATTCTCCAAAAGCTACTTACAACACAGTCTTGAAGTTGTGGCAGCTGCAACATGTCTGCAGTTGTTTGCCCTTATGACCAATTGGCCCCCTGCCCATTCACCCCATTCATTCCTCACATTGGGTTTCTGCAGCACCTTAGACCAGTGGTTCTCAACCTTTTTAATGCCACGACCCCAACCGGTCGTAAGTCGAGGACTAAACTGGTCGTAAGTCGAGGACTAAACCGGTCGTAAGTCGAGGACTACCCAACCGGTCGTAAATCAAGGAATTTCCCTGCTCAGGAGCGCCACGCATGCGTGGTTCCGCCCCCTGCGCTGGCCAAGGCGTAGGTGGCAAGCAGCAGAGACGGAGCAGGCTGACCACCAGCTGGCCCAGCCCAAGGGAGGTAAGGCACCCGCCGGAAAAGGGGGGAAAAAATGGCGGACAAAAAAAATGGCAGACAAAAAAAATGGCGGACAGCTTTGCTTGGCGACCCCCATGAAATGGTCGATCGACCCCAAATGGGGTCCCGACCCACAGGTTGAGAACCACTGCCTTAGACATTCTTCCCACTCCACTGGGCCCCACGCCTTCCTCCTCACTTATCTTTTGTAGATTTCTAAAGCTCAGGAGGTCAGGTTAAGGAAGACTGCTCCATTGCTGGACCTTATGGTGCAATTCTGGGAGTGGTCAACATTTTTCAAGTGGTCACAGTGAATTGTAGCCACTAGGATGATGGCTGCTTACGGGAATATGCCATGCAGCCCAGCAATGAAGCGCTTTGCTTTGCTAATGTGAGCTCCACAACATTCCAGAGTGTTCCGGTGTAATAACATCACCAAGTATTTTATGCTTTTTTCTTGCTAGGAAATAATATTAGCATGTGTTTCAAATACTTTGCAGGTTGAACAGATTGCAGTGATATCTTTTGCAGCAAGAACTGTGTTGTGGCACCTTAACTAATTTATAATGCCTAGTTTTTTTGTGCCTCATCGTAGTCCATTTTATCAGATGCCCACAGTATTTTTCAGGGCTCTGCTCATGCATCAGATGGACAGATATAATCAGCCCATTCAGTGTTCCTGTTAAGGGTCACCAGGATATTTAATAGGAGAGGGCATATAAATGAGCATTTACGGGCTTCCCTCCTATGGAACAGCTGCTCCCAACAACATAGCACCTAAACAGCTTGATACGTTTCAGTTTGGTCAGTTTTACGTACCTCCCTTTGCCTGCATTACTGGGCCATTCAAAAACATTTAAAAGGATCCATAAATAACCAAAATAGCCAAAGTCAATGACAGCTCCATTTTGTAGTGAAATCAGCTGGTTGGATTGCATTTGATTGGCTGCAAAAAGGGAGCTGAGAATGTGTCAAGCCACCATTCCCCTTAAATGGACTGTGAACATTATGCTGTTGCTGCTGAAAGGCAGGGGGAGGCAAGAATTCCCAGCAAAGAGAAAATGGACCACTCACAAGTTCTGCTCAGCTTCAGGGCTATAAAAAGGGAGAACAGGTTTTGCCATGCTAGATACATTGCAGCTCAGGCAGAAATAAATCACCTGAGATGCAAACACAAACTGCAGCTGGGAAACAATTTGAGAGCTGGTCTGGAGGGATACAAAGAGGACCAATATTATAGTTTAGGTAGTTACAAACTTAGTCTAATAGTCTTAATAGTCTAATGTTTTAGACTATTCTTGAAATGTTCTGCTCTTGTTTAGAATCTAGATTGCACAAACAGCTATTTGAACATTAGATACAAGGAAGAAACCATTTTTTTCCTGAGGAACTTGTAAATAATATATTTATCTTTTAGTGCTATTGTTTTAATTTCCCTAGGACTTTTACTTCAATCAGAAGTGAATTGATCCCATACTTGGTTAGAAAGCAGTTTTCCTTTCCTGCACAGTTTCAACAGGACCAAAACTACAAAGAGCAGGACCAAAAGAAAAAGGACCAGAAAACAGGTTAGTACAAAAAAAGAATGCAGGAGACAATGAATGTCACTTGGGGAATATGACTCCAATAGGGAATGCAATCATCTCCCAGTTCATAAACTCTTTTTAGCCTGCTTCTTGACAAATAAAAGAGCTTGTCTCAATTAAAAATCTGGTAAAATGTTGGTAGTATGATCCATATAGAAATAAACACGGAAGAGATTGTTGCCACCAGGGTTTAAAAAGATAAGTAACAACATAGTAAAAGGTGAAGGGAAAGATAATGAGGGTGATCAGTTTGATAATGCCAGATGTATAAGTTAGTGTTCTGTATTATATCCAAACTGGGAAGTTATCATTTGTTATAATAAGGCACTCAGCTTGTTTAACAGATCAGTTTAAACAAACATTGGGTTCCTGAATTTGGCCGAAATAGAGAGTTTGGGTCTGGTTAAAGAAAGAAACTCCTGTCATTTGGCAGCCATATAAGAGATAGGAACTTAGGGGGCCTTGTTCATATATTACAAAAGTACATTATTCTCTTATAATTGAAGCAGAAATTAGTCTTATTTCTGGGAGGAAAAAGCAAAGCATTTTCTGTTGGCTGGTACTTCTATTCTTTGTTTTTTGGGTCTCAGTTAAAACAGGGATCTTTTGGGTGTTAGCAAGAGATTTCTTCCAGAAGCAGCTTTTTTTCTAGCCAGTGGATGAGGCCACACTGTTTTTTTCATTGCCCTGATATTTTACCTATAGGCCAGCAATCCCAGGGACCATTGTTTTTCTGGGCAGTGGCAAATATTGGAATATTGAGCAGTGTGAAGAGTAAATTCAGCTACTCTTTACCCACCCTGTGCATAGAAAGAAATGTGAATATGCCATATATAATGCTCACTTTGATTCCATTTAAAATGTTTATGATTTATATTTTTGTATTCCACAGACATTTATAACTTTATGAAGGATGATAGCTGGTTTGAACTGGGTACAGACAAAATGTGTTGGAACAATTGCAGAGGAGATGTAAAAGAGGCATTCCATGGAGGGAAAATTCGTTGCTATGTTCACATCATGGGAGATGGACTATGTTACCGAGTGAACACTCTTGGACTATATATTGAAGCAAATAGGCAGGTAAGATAGAAAAAAAACAGTTTTTAACTCAGGACTGGCACTTGTGTAATTATGACAATTAAGAGAGGGATAGAATGGGAAGATTAGATTGAAATATCTTTATCTTGGTTGCATTATGAAGGGGAAAATGACTGAATGACCCAAGTATGTTTGTTCATATATTTACAGTATTTGCACCACATCTTTCTGGTCAGAAATCATTCACAATGACTTACAACATTTTAAAAAAATAGAGTGACAACAAATTAATAGTATGTTCCAAAGCTTGGGAACAATGTAAGTGATGATCCTCTCTTGCATGTTAAATAAATAAACCTCTGACATTGGAGACATCTTCACAAGGGCCTCTCCTGCAGTGCTTCATGGCCAGACAGACCCATAATGAAGAAGCCTCACCTAAAAAAGTCCAGGCCTTGATTTATTTAAAGATCAAGGGATCCCTGCACCAGTTGCCCACATAGCTTCTGGACACTTGGTGCCTATTACCTTGCGCCTTGGGGACACTTTTCAAGGATAACGCAGGCATAGATAATTATCAGATCTGATTGCTGAGGGACAGTTGTAGTTGGTACACTAATTGTGCTTACAAGGACACCTCTTCACTATAACTGTCATCTGTGAAAACAGTAACAGCTGAGGAGTATTTCCAAATTGTGGACTTGGTCTTTTGGGAGGAGTGAAATCTCATCCACAATAGACTGAATCAGAGTCATAAAAGCCTTTAATTATTCATCAATAGCATGTATATATTTTCTGGATTTATCCCTTATCAAGTCTGTTGTAAAAGTTAAGCCATTTTCTAGGAGTGATCACACTCTGATGGCATGTTTGTATGAACTGACTTTAGGGCACATTAATAATAGTTCAAAACTTATTTTGTCATATGAGAGGTGAGCTATTTTGGAGTCTGTAATAAGGAATAGTAGATAGAAGATCGCTATATTTTAATTTCAAGGGTTTAAAAGAAGGAAAGAAGATTGGTGCAGTTTGACAGTCATAGAAGGTGCAAGAGTGAATTGAAGAACAAACTCTAGAGTTGTCTGTCTAAATATGTTATTCATTTGGAGTCAGTACTCCAAATATTCCCCCCATGTGATAATTCCAATATATATATACTGTATATTTGTACAAAACATTCAGTGATCAGAGACAAATTTTCTTCAGTAGTATCTTTTCTGGAGTGGCAATATAAGGCAAACTATCTAAACGAAAACATTAATCCTTCAGAGAATTTGCACATTTTAAAGAGAATTTCTAATAGTCTTATGCTTTTTGTTTTGCTTAAGCTGTTGTGGGTTCCAAATATTCCATAACTTTTGATTTGTGGATATTTTATTTTCTTCTTCACACTTCCCTTACTTTTTTAATATGTGAAAATTTATTCATCTATTCTAGCTGTTTGTGAGCTAGCTTAAGCAACTGGGTTCCATTGAAAGCATATCCAAGTCAGGAATTTATTCAGAAAGTTCATTCAGTGAAGTTTATAGGTAGCATGATTTTTCTGGAGCCTCCTTTATGTCTTATAGCTTGAGAGTAGTCCGAGTGTCCCATTATTTCTACACATGGAAAGGAGAAGGGACGGATTGTAGTGTCATCATAGACGGCCATGTCATGCAACAGATGTTTGCACAAATATGGAAGTGTGAGCACAGTGTATATTTTTTGTCCATAACCCATGAAGCAGCTGCTGATGCATTAGAACTAGCAGCAGGAACAGAACAGTACTTCAGTCCCCTGTTTTTGTACTTAGGAAATATCTCACTTGTTTCAGTTGACCTCTTCAGTCTGCTGTTCCCTTTGTGTGGGCAGGTGGCAGCAGGAGGGAGTAGTTTTGGGGAATAAGAAGTAGATTACTTCACCCCCCCCAAAAAAGCACCCTAAAGTTAAACTAAACTTCCCCTTGGCCCTGGCGCTCCCTGACCGTTCTGTTAGACAACTGCTTGTCTCACTAGTTGCTTCCCATATTTAAATATTTTTTATTATATGTAAAGATAGGAAGGGGGGGGGGGAGAGAGAGAAGCTTTCAAGCATGTTTATGTTCCAAACAGAAATGATCTTACATAAATTCACATCTCATATTACCCTTAAAAGAACAATTTAAGCCAGTTAACAATAAAAAGAGATGAATGAGCGTATACACCAGTACGTGCAATATACTTTTAAAATAATTCTTCTAGTGAGATTTCCAGTGGCAAAATGCTTACTCAGATAGGGAAAGAGAAATATTCAGACTGCCCTATAAGTGATAGAAAACAGGTATAAATCAATCCAGACTTTCCCCTTGATGTACAAATAACCAGGCTCAAATGACCATATTTTGGATATATTTTGCAAAGTCCTAGTTTTTGTGAAATCTATAATATTGGGAAAGGCAGAAAGAAGAAATGGCCAATAGCAAGGTGAATACACTTCCTTAATGGAGACAGATCATTCTGGAAAAGGCCTGATTAATGTGGTTGCCAAGAGTCAGACTGTTGGCAGATAATCTTATTACAGGATCCAATCTGGGTCGGTCACTGGGACAAGAGGTTTAGTTTTCCGAGCTTTTGGACTTGTGCTGGAGCCCATCCTCAGGGGACTTCTCTCAGCCAAAAACTCAGAAGACTAAACCTCTGATCCCAGTAATCATCCCAGATTGGATCCTGCATTAAGATTATTGTTAAATTCATATTTAAGATACAGCACAATCTGTTGCTCAAGGGAGGCTGCACAAAGGCTCAGCCCCCAAATTAGATGCAACGTGCCGGGATCACAGAGAAGTAGATGTTCATTACAAACATGGGAGGGGGAATAATTTAAAACCTCCCTGGTTGTTCCTGAACATTTAATTGTCATGTTTCACCTATGAAGCCCCTTTGTCATGTGTTCTAAACAATTTTAAATAACTGTTTCTTTGTAAGTGACTCGCTTATTTGCAGGTAATAGTGGAGGGACTCCATTTATTTCAGTTTATTTCTAAATGGGTTTATCAGTCCAAATTCATTTGCAATTTATCTCTCTTCTAATATTTTTGCTCAGTGTGGAAGGCCAAGCAATGCTCAAACTTCGACTAAAAATATGAAATAGCTTGTGTAGCCTGTAACTTCCTATATAGCCTCCTGAAGCCTGATTGATTGTTGCCTGTTTAAAAAATTAAAATCATCAAGTGTCCTTTTTAGTCACTTGAAGATAATAATTTTAATTAAGTAAACTGAGGGTAATGTTTATATTATAAAGAGGAGCGTAGTTGGGGGCCATTAATGTATGATTTCAAAAAATTTCTTTCAGGTTCCCAAAATGCTGCCTTCACTTTGTCTTGAAGAACCTCTGGTTCACAGTTCTGCATCGATTATTGATAAGTGCATGGTGAGTAGCAAGAAGAGGATAATGGGAAGGTAGAAGTAAATAAATATGGATCAGTCTATGCAATTTGTTTTCCTGGTTCTGGTTGTTGTTTCCTGGTTGTTATAACGAAAGCTCTTTCAAGCTGTACTCAGGCAATCATACCTTTGTATTTTAGTCCTTTCTCTGCACATATGAATGTACAGATAAGTGTAGTTTCCAGTTTTGTTTTGACTTGTTTTCTGAAATAGGAAGCAGTGGTTTCAGCTTCAGAACAGCTAGGATCTTATACCAATGTCAATTAGTAGATTAAGATTCTGAGTTTTAGAGCAGGTAAGGAAAAAAAACATTAGTTTAGGCAAAACTAAGTAGGACAGATGCTAACAAACTTTCTGTTGCTATGTGGATGACGCTCTTGTGAATAAAGCAGAGGCAATTGCACAGGAAACCTCAGGGCCCATAAAAGATGTATGCATTGCATTCAGACTTGCTGAGAAAGAGAATGGGTCTGGGTACGAGCACAAGGCAGGTAGAACTGTGTGAAATGACCACCTTCCAATTTGATCAGGTCAGTTTTTCCTCACATGGCAGAAACAAAATTCCTGTCCCCTCGTTCATGTGTTTGTGTAGATCATGCTTCTCTTAGAACCCTCCTAGAGAATTAAACAAGACTTACGTATGCTTGATCTGCTGGGTTGATATTGCTAAAATGCACTGTTTTTTGTTAATTAGAAAAAAATAGCATTTATATCTGTCTAGGTCTGAGTTTACTGACTCCCTGCAATGGACTGTCATATGTATTTATAATGTATACTATTTATTCCAGTAGACTGGAAACAGTTAACTTCAGAGAAAGTGCCAGATGACAGAATTAATCTCTTTTTATGTTCTTGAAAAGTGCAGTCAAAAAACCTTAATCACCAGAACATCAGTTTAGTAGCTATGGTACATATTCAAAAATTCTCCAGTTCTTTTTTACTAATCCATTTAGAGTGTTATGTGTTCTCCAATATACAGCAGAAAAAGTAGACCCTTTTCCTGCGAAAAAAAGAAAAGGATTCTTGAGGCTTCATTAAAGCTTATTTGGGTCTGTTCAGTCTGTTAATTGACAGCTATCAGCAACTCAAGGAGAAGATATTGTTTAATACTTGGTGGTTAAGTTTCTTTCTCTTCCTCTGTAGGTTGGCTCTGACAGCATTGTAGGTGCATCCTCTCAAATAGGCGAAAAGACTTCAGTAAAGCATTCTGTCATTGGTACTTCATGTTTGATCAAAGATAAAGTTAAAATTACCAACTGCATCATCATGAATTCTGTCAGAATTGAAGAAGGGTAGGTGGCCTTTTAAACATTTTTTTTGTGATTTTATATAGAGAATTGTAGCATGAACTACATGAACTACATGTAGCATGAACTAATTATGGAATATCCAAAGCATGCCCTGTTTGGCTGAATGCCACTTCTTTATTTCCAGGAGAGAAAACAGAATTATGATTGAGGATAGAGGCATCCACAAGAGGGCCGCAAGAGGGTACAAAGCAGCATTGTATCATTGTGATGCAAGCTGCACCCCTTTTGTACATGTACTATATCATGACTGCGCATTTCTCTTTTTTATCAATTTGATGAAAGCCTTCATTCCTGCAGGTGCCTCTGAGAAATATTAAAATGTCCTGATATACATAGTCAATGAAATTAGTGTCAAAAAGATCGCCATTGGCATATAATATGGGAAGCTAAAAACAAGAGTAATGCCATGTTTTTTAAATATGATTCAGAGAACATTCAGAAAATTACAAGTAGAATAGCTTTATTTTGGATAAATTGGTGGGAAGATAATACATGAAAGTAAAATAGCTTGAAGAAGTTTCAGTATCTTCAAATAATGAAGAAATGCTAAACGAATTCTACAGAAGTAAATTATGACCACAAACACTGTACAGCAACGGTCCTCAACCTTTCCGGCTCCATGGACCAGCAACAGTGGCATCGGGGGAGGGGGGAAGGGGATGGTTTCACTTGCACAAATGGAGCTTTCGCACTCGTCCACCCCTTGTGCAGGTCACGGCCCGATACCAGACCACAGCCTGGGGCTTGGGGACACCCTGCTGTAGAGTAGTTTGATTGTATGTGACTTAGATAAAATTATTTGCCTGTCCTTTCAAGAAATATTTTTCCTTCATCAAGCTCCTGAGCAGATACAGCAGTTTAATAGTAAAAAGATTCTCTTATAGATTGCAACTATTTAAGAATAGGACACAAAAAGAGAAATAAATGAACATTAATCACAATTTTGAAATTATCTATACAAGATGAAATAGCCTTTTTTCCTATTGAAATCAAATTATTGTATATGATTAAAATAAAAAGGGACGGCAAAGTTACACATTTTTAAATGGTAGATGCATATCAGTGTGGAACAATTCACATTAAAATACTTAACACAGATATGGTAGAAGCAACCCCCCCTCCCCCAGATTCTTTTTTTTTTTAAAGACATATATATGTGAGATGTTCTGGGGATACTATGATAGAGCAAAGCCTGCTGGATGGCTACATGATGATCGACTGAATGCACTCTGCATGGTTTTTTTCTTTTCACCGTTTTTAAAAATATTTTTAATTTATTTTGGTTGGTTTTTTTAATGAATTTTATCTGTTTGGATTGTTTTAGTACGTATGCCATTCAGAGTCACTACATGAGATGGATTGCTATATAAATGTGATAAGTACATTTGTTTGTTTGTTTGTTTACGAGACTTCCCTTTGAAAGAGAACTGCCGGTGGTTAACTCTAGACCAGTGATGGCGAACCTTTTAGAGACAGAGTGCCCAAACCACAACCCAAAACCCACTTATTTATCGCAAAGTGCCAGGGCCGCATCAGCATTGTGGTGCCCTCATGGGGGGGGCAGGGAGGTGCCTCTGAGTTCCGCCTCTGGCACGCAAAACCGGGGGCGCAAAAATGGGCCACCATGCTGCAAGGCGCAAAAGCGGCCGTACCATGGGGTGCAGATACAAAGCGCTGCACCATGCAAGAACAGGGCAGGGCTAGTGAGTATCACGCAGGCCCTAGCCCCGCCCCATTTGCAGCATGTGTGTGCTCGCAGCCCCATGCACGCATGCATGCATGTAAAATGCTTCCCCCTCCCTTTTCTTCTAGTCCACCAATCGACAATGGTTGGTGACCTCTTCTCTACCACCTCTACTCGAGCTTGCTAGTCAGCTGCTTCGCCTCCTTTGTGCTGGGCGGGGCTCCTGCTCCGGGCGGCAGTGGTGACCTGATACACCTGCTGCTGGCAGCGATGGCACGTGTGCCAATAGAGAGGGCTCTGAGTGCCATAGGTTCGCACCACTGCTCCAGACTTTAGCTGACAATTGATTGACCAGGAAAAGTTTGGTTCTTTATTGAGATTCTTGTTCAAAAAGTAAATCCTCTATTATGGAAAAATGCAGTTGCTGGTATTATAATAACTTTCCAAAACTATGGCGTCACTATCTTGGAATGATTTTTATTGTAGCATTGAAAAAAAATGTGGACGGTCAAAACATGTCAACCCAGAAGACTCAGAGGGCTAAAGCAATTGCCCTATGAGGAAACAGTATTGTATTGGGAATGTTTAACTTAAACAAAAGATTAATGACAGGGACATGTTGGAGAAAAAAATAAATTGTATGCAGTAGGGATCAAGTAGATGGGGAAAATACTGGTATTAATGCTGATTAACTTTATACAGTCATTTATTTTAACATATTTTATATGTGTTATTTCACACAGGAATTGCTCCCACAAACCTTATTTTGGCAAGGTTTTTCTCAGTGGCTTGTCCTTTTAGTTCCATACTTTTCTTGTATTGGTTGAAAAAGTTAAATTATTGTGTAAATGATGGCTGTTGTGTAAGAGCTCTACCTCCCTTTGCAGGCAATTTCTTGTATCAATGAATTAAAAACATTAAACAATGAATTAAAAACAATTGCTCCTTGAAGTTGATTCTCATAGTCACATGCTTGTATAATGTGAACAAAAAGCTTAGATTTCTGAAGCACATTGCAATTACAAAACTAGGTTATAAGTGAATATAATATCTAATTGCCACATTTAATTACCAGCGTGTTATAAATTAAATCCCCATACTATAAAGATAAAGGATAATTTCCAGTTCATCTTCAGACAAGGCCGGCTCTGCTGTGGTAAAAAAACAATAAATAATACTTCTGTTGAGATTTACCAAAGACAGGAGTAGCTCTTTGGAAAGAGTGAAGAATTTAGGAGATAAGAGTGTACAAATTTAATTTTCTAAATAGAATTAGACAGTCTCTTCTAAGAGAGAGAGTGAGAGAGATTTTCATGTGGCAGTGACCCAATTAAAGCTTTCCTAAAATGGACTATTGGGTATTAATATTTAGATAAAGAACATTATAAAGAGCAATAACGTGTTCTTTATTTTCTCAACTTTTTAGTCTTAAGATTGAAAATGTATTGGAGTTTGTAGATCCTTGCCTTGTACAGTATCCTTGCCTTGTACAGTATCTTCTCAGCAGACTACAGAGATCTA